GGGAAGGGGCGATTGCCCTCTTCTCACAGCCCTATGTTCTTTGGTGTGATGTCTAAGGTGGAGCGCTAAGCTGTAAAGGGGCGCTATATAAATGCCGCATCCAGGCCGACCGTGCAGGCCTGCCGCTACATCTGGGGGCGGTAATAAAAATGCCTCAGATCAGGGAGGGAGTCGACACCGAGAAAAGGTGGTTGCGGCCGAAAGGCAAGTGCAGCGACAACCTGCGACCGTCGTGGACGCGGTCAACCTCGGGGGCGGCAATCCGACTCGCGCTGACGGAAGGGGCGCCGACCCCTGCAGTCCGCCGTTGGCGTGCGACATTCGGATTGTTAAGATCCGGTCGACTCTATCGGGTAGGCGCAGAGGCCAGAGGCCGTCGAAGCGCGCGCGAGAACGGGATCAACACAAGGGCAAGCGCGGTCCCAGGGCAGGGGACAAGCACCGCGCGCCTGACGTGCCCGCTCGCCCTCCCTACGGGTTGTCCAGATTAGCCCGTGTCGAGACTTGCCTGCAGGCGAGCGCCGCTTCGCGGCCAGTTGCGGCGGGACTTTCCCAATATGGGGTTCCGTCGCAGAGGCCGCGTCGTGGCATTCCCTGGAGGCGGGCCCCGCCACAATCTGGACAGCTTTCGTAAAAAGGCGCTGGCGGCGAGGGAGCGGGAAGGGCCCCCCGCGCTATACAAATCACCCGCTCCTCGCCGAAGCCGCCAGCGTAACAGCGCGGGACCCCAGAAACCCCAAGACGTCCGCTGGGGGCTCGTGGGCGAGCAGGGCGCATCTGCATGCACGTGCCAGTGAGTTATTGTCACACCCACCTACCCCATCCCTCACGCAAGCCGGCGGTCGGCATCGGCGGCGGCGGCGGCGGCGGCGACGGTGGCGGCGGCGGCGGCGGCCACGGCGGCGGCGACGGCGGCGGAAGCGCGGCGCCTGACGTCCAGAGATGTCGCTCGGGCATCGGCGGCGAGTGCGCGGTCTGCAAAAGCGCGTCATAAACTCATGGATGGTTGGTTTCAGAGTAGCTTATGTATCTTTGAATGTATCGACCTTATACATCAACAAAAAAAAAAAAAAGAAAGGCTGCGGGAAGAGACGATTGCCCTCTTCTCACAGCCCCATGTTCTTTGGTGTGGTGTCTAAGGTGGATCGCTAAGCTGTAAAGGGGCGCTATATAAATGCCGCAGCCAGGCCGACCGTGCAGGCCTGCCGCTACAGTTGTTGCGCCGAAAGGCAAATGCAGCGACAACCGGCGACCGTCGTGGACGCGGTCAACCTCGGGGGCGGCAATCCGACTCGCGCCGACGGAAGGGGCGCCGACCCCTGCAGTCCGCCGTTGGCGTGCGACATTCGGATTGTTATGATCCAGTCGACTATATCGGGCAGGCGCAGAGGCCAGAGGCCGTCGAAGCGCGCGTGAGAACGGGATCAACACAAGGGCAAGCGCGGTCCCGGGGCAGGGGGCAAGCACCGCGCGCCTGACGTGCCCGCTCGCCCTCCCTACGGGTTGTCCAGATTAGCCCGTGTCGAGACTTGCCTCCAGGCGAGCGGCGCTTCGCGGCCAGTTGCGGCGGGACTTTCCCACGATGGGGTTCCGTCGCAGAGGCCGCGTCGTGGCATTCCCTGGAGGCGGGCCCCGCCACAATCTGGACAGCTTTCGTAAAAAAGGCGCTGGCGGCGAGGGAGCGGGAAGGCCCCCCCGCGCTATACAAATCACCCGCTCCTCGCCGAAGCCGCCAGCGTAACAGCGCGGGACCCCGGAAACCCCAAGACGTCCGCTGGGGGCTCGTGGGCGAGCAGGGCGCAACTGCATGCACGTGCCAATTAGTTATTGTCACACCCACCAACCCCATCCCTCACGCAAGCCGGCGGTCGGCATCGGCGGAGTCTGCTAGCGCGGTCACGCGGTTGGCTTGGTCTCGGACCTCCAAGATAAGGTCGGGGTACATATGAAGATCACATTGTCCTCTCTCTCTCTCTCTCTCTCTCTCTCTCTCTCTAGGGCCTTGCTTCCAATGAAAAGAACGCGGGCTTGACCCCGTGGAAAGACGGAGATCGAGATTGCGTAAGCTCGATTCCAATGACAACTACATGGTCGTGATTCTAGTGGAGGACGGAAACAGTCAGAGACCCTGGTGTATCTCAATGACAATGATTTCCCGTCGTCTATTGGCCCGAGAATTACCCTTGGCCCGAGACTCACGCGGCCATGACACTCGCTAGGAGGAGCGTGTTCAAGTTCAACCCGAAGATGGGGAGGCCGGTCAAAATCACGATCGTGAAGAGGCTCCTGATACAGCATGCGAGGCACATGAGGGAGGTCGAGGATGACGCGCAGGACATGCAGAAGGACATGAAGGGTACGCCAAACCACATACTCGAGATCCAAGATAATGCGGACATGCAGGGTGGCATGAAGCGTACGCCAAACCCCACTATCGATACCCAATGTGATACTGGCATGCAGGACGCCATGAAGAGTACGCCAAACCCCAGTTCCGAGATCCAAGATCATACGGACATGCAGGGTATCATGGAGGGGACGTCAAACCCCATTCTCGGGATCCAGGATGATGGGGGCATAGAGTCGCCGCCGCCTCGCAGTCTTGAGACCAAAGATAACCTGCATCGCGTCATGGAGGGTACCGAGGAGGGCATAGTCTCCATCCAGGCCGGAGCGCATGCGAAGCACATAAGGGAGGTCGAGGATAACGCGCAGGACATGCAGAAGGACATGAAGGGTACGCCAAACCACATACTCGAGATCCACGATAATGCGGACATGCAGGGGAGCATGCAGCGTACGCCAAACCCCACTATCGAGACCCAATGTAATACTGACATGCAGGACGCCATGAAGCGTACGCCAAACCCCACTCTCGAGATCCAAGATCATACGGACATGCAGGAGATCATGGAGGGGACGCCAGACCCCACTCTCGGGATCCAGGATGATGAGGGCATAGAGTCGCCGCCGCCTCGCAGTCTTGAGACCAAAGATAACCTGCATCGCGTCATGGAGGGCACCGAGGAGGGCATAAACTACATCCAGGCCGGAGCGCATGCGAGGCACATGAGGGAGGTGGAGAATAACGCGCAGAACATGCAGCAAGGCATGAAGGGTACGCCAAACCACATACTCGAGATCCAAGATAATGCGGACATGCAGGGTGGCATGAAGCGTACGCCAAACCCCACTATCGATACCCAATGTGATACTGGCATGCAGGACGCCATGAAGAGTACGCCAAACCCCAGTTTCGAGATCCAAGATCATACGGACATGCAGGGTATCATGGAGGGGACGTCAAACCCCATTCTCGGGATCCAGGATGATGAGGTCATAGAGTGGCCGCCGCCACGCAGTCTTGAGACCAAAGATAACGTGCATCACGTCATGGAGGGCACCGAGGAGGGCATAGTCTACATCCAGGCCGGAACTCTTACCCATGAAATTAAGATGCAGGCCCCTGGGCCCATTCCCTAACACAAATACAATAACTGCGCAAATTGACTATGAGTTCTGGTTCCCAGCGCGGTGGCTCTCAGCGCGCGGAGTCGAGCTACGCCCTAGATATACTGTTTCACTGAGCTCGGAGCTTTCTTTCCGCGCGCGCGTGGAGAAACAATCCACTGAGGTGTTTGTGTATTCGTCGATATTCGGATTTCGGTACGAAGTCGATATCTTGAAGAGTTGTGTGTGAGTGGAATTTTGGTCCGATTAATCTCGATGAAGTCTCGTACCCCAGCACGGTGGCGGACAGCGGCAGTAGTGACCTCACACCGAAACTCGCGGGCGCCCCCCCCCCCCCCCCCCATGACGATTTTTTTTTTCAAAACGGTCTGTATAATTGCGGGCCGAACGTCGCCACGCATCACACCTCCAGCTGCTGTTGCGGCCGCTGCCCCGTGCCATCTCTCCGCCTGTAGTTCTGCTGCGTCGGGCACTGTTCGCCCGAAACGACGCAGGAGCTTCAGAGTTGGCGGCGGCGACGGCGGCGACGGCGGCGGCGATTGCGGGGGCCGTGGCCGTCGGCGGATGGGGCTTCTCCTCGGTGGCAGCAGCGCGCGTTAATGTCGGGATCCAGCCCCGCGCCTCGGAGCGGCCCCAGCAGCCCGCGATCGCATTGTTTGTTGTTTCTCGGATCAGGCGCACCCGAGTCGGACGCGGGATGTCAGATATGCGCGGGCGCTCTCGGTGGATCAGTTCCAGCTCGGAGGATGGAAGCCTTCACTTCTGCGGTATCTGGTTGGTTGGCGATGCGTCGCCCTAGCCCGCGTTGAAAAGCGCAGCGCCGGCTGTCAAAATATTGCGTTCGACGCGTCGGCGATGCATTGCGCGGTCTCGGAACGCGCCAAAAAGCAACGGATGGATGGTTTCTGAGGAGCACATGAAATTTAGGAAGAAGCTCGCCACGTCTCACACTAGCCGTTCCTCGCCGACTCGCGGACCGCGTCGTCTTCGTCTCGGGGGCCGCCCTCGCGGTGGCCAGGTTTCCCCGAAAGCTTCGCGGGGAACTTGGATGCGTTCGAGGCGGGGCTTCCTTTGGGCATCCGCATTCGCGGCGATGACGACGAGGGCCGCGGCCGTCGGCGGATGGGGCCGCTCCTCGGCGGCTGCGAGATATCCACAGGTATTCTCGACAAACTAGCCCGCAGGACCAGGGAAGAGAGCAGCGGGGAAGGGCGAGGGTGTTCTGGGCGGGGCGCATCTCTCAGCGAGACGCAGCTCAGCGGCAGACTGCTGCTTCTGGGTGGCGCCACAAGGTTGCATCAGGCCTCGGCCGCGGCTAGGGCATGTGCGGTCCCCAGCTTGAGATCCTCGTTGTCCCTATCATGTTCCCTCTCCTCTCCTCTCCTCTCCTCTCCTCTCCTCTCCTATCCCTTCTTCCCCCTCATTCACCCTTCTTGGCCCGCGGCAATTCGGGCTCGCGACGCCACCCGCCGCGCTTGCTTGGCAGGCTATATGTTTTGTTGCGGCGCAGAGCGGGATCTCCGCCATTCATGCGGCTCACCGTGAAGAACGCCTTCCACGGCACGTACCTCCCAGATTTGGTGAAGGTGGGGCTCCTCTCGGGGCCGCTGGAGTGTGCCGAGGACGTCAATCACGCGCTCCAGCAGGAGTGCCAGCTCGAGATCGACAGCAGCATGCACGACATCGTCTCTACCAACGTTGGCCCTTCCAGCGTTGGCTGCATCAGCGTTGGCTATCCCAACGCTCCTGGTCATGCCGTCGTCAGGGACAACCACGACGGCAAGGCAGCCGATCGGATTGCACGGTCAATTGCAGCATACAGGCAGCTACTGAGCCTGAATTCGACAACCACGCCTTCAGCGAGCGTGGCATCCTCAGGAAGGGCGCGGCCTCCCGCCTGCTGGGCGGCGGCCGCAAGGCCACGCAGCCGAAGGCCGAGGACATGAAGCTCCTCGAGGGGCTGCGCCTACTCTTGGGCGCTCCAGCGCAGGCGCCCCCCAAGCAGCCGCCGCAGCAGCCACAGCAGCCGCAGCAGCGACGGGGCAAACAGACCTTGCGAGAGGCGTTGCAGGACGCTCTCGGCAGGGCTCGGACGGACAACGCACTGAAGGGCAAGCTCGTGAAGATCCTAACGGCAGTGGACGGCGGGCACATCACCCTGAGCGCGGACGGGAACAGCAGCGGCGCCCCTCTGGCGGGCGACAACAAAGGCAAGGGCGCCGCCGCGGCTCACAGCAGCGGCGGCGGCAAGGGCAAGGGCGGCGAGGCCGCCAACCTCGGCGCCACGGGCGCCAAAGCCAAGGACAAGACCGCCTCCGGGAACCCCAACGGCAGCGGCAAAGGCAAGGACAACGGCACCGGCAAGCCTCCCGCGAAGACTGGGAGTGGCGCCCGGTCGCTCTGGCAGCGCGACTGGCCGGATGCGACGCTCAGCCGGGCCGGCGCCGTGCTCGGCAAGCTCAGGCAGGCCGAGCTGCCCAGCAAGGGACAGACAGCCACCCTCGCCGACACCGTCGACGAGGCCGACGAGATGCTCGCGCTCTGGCGGCAGCACTTCGGCGAGAACAGCGCGGGCGAGGAGGCCGCCAAGGACGCCAGCCTCACCGTGGGTGTCGTGGTCAATCCGGTGGCCGGCGTCTCCTGGAAGCCGTCAGGGGCGGCGCGCGCCGCCACCAAGCACATCACCCTGTCCAAGATGGAGCCGAACGAGAAGCTTCAGATCAAGCTGGTCGCCCTGGCCACGGTCGGCAAGGAGGTCACTGGACCTGCCGGCCCGGTCGTTCAGAGCGCCGCGAAGCTTCCAGTCAAGGTGGACACGATCACCGTGCGCCTCACGGTCTTCGATAAGTACATGGACGCCCTGAGCTTGGGGAACGCCAACGCCCTGCTCAAGCAGGTCTGGCCGGCCGGGGCGAAAGGCATGCAGTTGGGCAATTGGCGGCCCACGGGCTCGCACGACGAGGCCCAGAGCTACAACATGTACGTCACTGGCACCAAAGAGCAGGTCGACGCCCTCATTGCCATCAGCGGCAAGAAGGGCGTTTTCGTGGGGCACCTCGCCACGACCAGGAACAAGATGGCGCGCACTACGGTGTCGTGGGTGCCGCGGCCAGCGGACAGCACGGACAAGGAGCACCTCGAGATTGCCCTCCAAGCCGCAGCGGGCGCCCCGCTGGTCCACCGGATCGGCGGCGGGCCAGACCTCGGCTTCGAACGAGCGGGGATAGACGTCAAAGCGCCCCCGCCTTTCGTCTGGAAGGCCACGACTCCCAAGTGGTGGCGTTCAGATCAACTGGAGAGTTTCCTGACAGGGAACGGCTGGACGGAGCCGCAGGTGACCGGCGACCTGGGGCACGGTGTCTGGCGGTTCCGCGCCAAGGCGCGGCCCGCGGAAAGCACTTCGTACATGTGGGAGGGCGCCGACCCGTCCGAGAAGATCACTGCTCTGCCAATGCCGCGGAAGGTCAAGCAGGAGACGGTGGGCAAGCAGCTCCGCAGGCCCGCGCTCCCCTGGCTCGACGACGAGGACACCAAGCCAGACGACGACGTCGCCATGGACGACGCGGACAAGAAGGATCAGCCTGGCGCTGGAGGCCCTCCCGCGCCGGCAGCGGCCGCGGGCGGTCAGGGCGCCGACCAACAGGGAAAGCAGCAGGACCAGCAGCCGCCCCGGGACCCAGCCACCAAGCAGGGCAAGGGCGCGGACGACGGCGACCGGGCCCACAAGCGGCTCAGGCTCGATGGCAACAACGTCATCAAGGACAAGACGTGCATCCTCGACGGCTACGAGGTAGTCGAAACCGGCGGCAAGGGTGCATGCGGCTACTGCGCGGTGGTGGGCTCGGGCAAGATGGCCAAGGACACCGCGGCCGATCTCAGCTCCCAGGAGGTGCTGGACAAGATCATGAAAGAGGCCGGCACCCTCCGGGTCCAGACGGTCCAGCACATGACCAACAACCCCGACGTGTGGGAGCCGTACTGGTGCTTCGACCCTAAGGCCGCGAGCCACACGGGACGCACGTGGGCCGAGTACCTGAACAAGTGCACGGACAACGCTTTCTACATGGACGAGCTCCAGCTCACGGCGACCGCGACGCGGCTCAAGCGGATGATCACGGTCGTCTACCGGGACGACAAGAACGGATGGGCCAGGAGGACCCTGGGCGACCAGTTCCGCAAGAAGGGGTGGTTCGTCTTGACGCTCGTGAATGAGCACTTCCAGGCAGTCCGCCCGGTGGCTTCTGGCTGGCCGGAGGCTCTCGCCGAGGACGTGGGGGGAAACATGCCTTGCAGGGGCAGAGGAGGCGGCCGCTCGGTGCCACCCCCGGCCTCCACGAGCAGCAGGGCGCGCTCGCGCCCCCCCGCCGGCGCCGGCCGGCACGTGCAGCAGGCAGCCTCACCAGCTACGGCGTTCTCCTGGGCCACGCGGAGCCGGGCTGGCAGCCGCGGCAGCAAGGCGGCGCGGGCCCACGCCCCGGCGCCTCGGCCACGAGCATCAACAACTTCCTCCTCTACTCCTCCCCTCCATTCTGGACACGACGACGTACGTGATGAAGGCGGTCGTGGCGGTGGAGGGGGACGAGCTGTTCCAGGGAGCGCGAGGACGCCGGCGCAGGCCCCGCAGTCGCCGGCCTTCTCCTGGCTCTCAGAGGACACCTTCGCCAGGGACGCCGCGAGGCCGGCCAGCGCGGCGGGCCGCGGCCAGCCCGGCGCGCGGACGTCGAGGGCAGCAGGGGTTTCCTCGGAGCCACGGCTGGACGCAGCTCGAAAAACTCCACCTGCACTGTCGACGGCGGCTTTCTCGTGGCTCTCCGGAAGTGCCTCCGAGTGCAACAGCAGCATCAAGGGTGCCGCGCCGGTCGGTGCACGGACTACGAAGGCGCGGAGTTCCGCGGGCGCAGCTTCGCCCCGTTCTACGGCAGCTTTCTCCTGGCTCTCTGGCCGGCCGCAGGCCTCCGAGGGCGGGCCGCTGGCGCTGGCTTTGGCTCCCCCTCCGCCTCGAGGCCGGCAGGGTGGCCGAGGCAGGCTCGCGAGGGCCCGCTCAGACGATCAGATTGCGCGCGAGGAGTTCGAAACGTTCCTCTGCTCTGCACGCGCGGCGTACTCGCACGAGGACCGGGCCCTTCCCGCAGCCCAGAAAGCGGAGATGGACGGGCTGACTGATCAGATGCATCAGTGGCTGGACTCCTCGAGGGCCGGCGGCCGGGCCCCCACTCGAGCAGCCGTCAATGAGAAGCGCATCGAGTACGACGCGGCGCTCACCAGGTGTACACTTGCTCACCCGCTCCGGGGCGACAGCTATGCCTGCCCCTGCGGCTGGCGGCCGAGCCCGGGCGCGGACTGGAAGACCAGCAACGACCTTGCACGTGCACATTGGTCAGCGTGCCAGCCTGGGCGGAGGTGGCCCCGGCTGCCGGCGGAGAAGAAAAGAGCCCTACTCACCAAGTATCGGGGCAACCACGTGGCCGGCTGCAGCGCAGCCGCCTGGGCGGAGTACGACGGGCGCATGGGCACCATGACGGGCGATTTCAAGGCGAAGTGCTGCGACCTCGACCGCACGGACCAGCAGTGCACCAAGAACACGATCGGCTGCAAGCTCACGGCCTTCAAGTGCACGCGGTGCGACGCATACGTCCAAAGGAACAGGGTCTGGGAAAGGCCGTGCCCTGCGGCGGGCAAGAGGCCGCTCGGGCAGAAGAAAGGCGGCGGGCCCTTGGACCTCCCCACGTTGTGGGAGTGGCGGGCTGCAGCCAAGGGCTTGTCTGGGCAAGCCGCCAAGGACAACGTGGCCGGGCAGGCCGCCAAGTCTAACGCAAAGAACCTGGCGTGGCAGCGCAAGCGGAAGCTCGACCGCACGGACGCGGAGAGGGCCGAGGACAACCGCAAGCGGAGGCCCGCGGCCAGGGCGGCGGCCAGCGGGGCTGCCACAGCGGCCGGCTGCTGACAAACGGCCGGCCGGCGCGTCCACTCCAGCAGGCGCGTCGGCCACTGGCCGTGGCACCACGCCACGCGCGTGGGGGAGGCGTCCAATCCTGGACCGCCCCAAGCAGGGAGGCCGCGGCAGGCTTCCGACGGACAGCTCCGAGTGTGGTCGTGCAACGTCAACGGCCTCAAAGACCAAGGCCCGGACCGCCGCCAGCAAGGCAGTGCGAACACGGGAAAATGGGACAGGGTTTTGGGCCAGCTCGCCGAGCATCGGGCCCAGGTGTGCGCGCTGCAGGAGACGCACATGGACACTTTCAGCTCCAGACGCTTCGTGGCGCAGGCCAGGGCGGGGGGCTTCGACAGCTGCTACACGTCCGCGGGCACAAACAGCTCGGCTGGGGTGGCGCTCCTTGGCCCGCCAGAGCTCCGCGAGGACCCCTGGGCGTGGGGCGGCAGGCACCAAGGCCGAGTGGTCTCTGGAATCCTCAGCGTCCGGGGCCAGGCCGACGTCTTGATCGTCGTCGTCTACGGAGACGTCAACAGCCAGGACAACCGCGCAAGCCTCTACGACGACGTGGCCGCGCGAGCCGCCCAGGCAGGACTGCCGACGATCGTTATGGGGGATTTCAACTGCGAGCCCTACGACTCCGAGCTCTTCGCTGTCCGCGACATGAACTACTGCCACGAGATGCTGGACATTCAGGACATTACCACCCACGGGGAGAGGCTCCTGGACTTCGCCTGCTTGCAGCAGCTGGAGGCCCAGACCTTCGCCACGGACACGGCCATTAGCGACCACGACGCGATCGTTTTTGAGCTCTGGCGGGAGCTCCGGACGCAGGTGCAGACCGTGGTCAAGTTCGACGAGCTCAACCCGCCGCTCGCGACGGAGGACTGGGACGAGACCTTCTCCCAGGCCATGGACAAGCGCAGAGACGAGTGGGACGCTGCAGCGGCCCGCCAGGATGTGGAAGCTATGTGGGCCCTCTGGTGCGACATGCTCGAGGACTCCGCCGGCGTCCCGGGCAACAGGCATCGGCGCAAACACGGCACCGTGCTCAAGCGCTGGGAACGGGTCTGCAAGGGCCCAGACGGACAACGGCAGACGGTGGTCGAGAGACGTCTCCACAGGCTGCTCCGGCGTGTCCACCACGCCCTCGAAGGGCCTCGGGCCGGCTCCGACGGCCTCTCCCTCTTTGGCAATATCCGCAGCGGGGTACAGAGCCTCGTCGACGACGGCGTCCTGGGCGAGGGCACCGCGGCCGACGGCGAGGATTTGGCAGCGCTCCGCACAACGATCCTCGCGAAGCTCCAGCAGCTGGCCGAGGAGAACAAGCAGCGCCGGCTCGCGGCGTGGAGGGAGCGGCAGCAGGCTGGAGACCTCAAGGCAACTTTCCGGTACGTGGCCGACAGGCCCCCGCTCTCTGTGAAGGCGGCCTCAGACCAGCGTGGCCGGCCCACGGCCGACCCCAAGGCCATCGTCGCGGCAGCTGTGCGACAGTGGAAGAAGAAGCAGCACCCGCGTCTGGAGCAGCACCAGATCGGCGACTACCTCCGGGAGGTGAGGGACGTTGTCGAGCTCGTGGAGCCGCCGGACATTGGCTGGATGTTCGAGGCGCCGGAGCTCCGGGCCGCCCTCCGAAAGACCGCCGGCACTGCGGCGGGCCCCGGGCAAATCAAAGCAGAGCAGCTCGCACAGGCCCCTGGCATCGTGCTGGACCTCCTGGCAGACCTGGCAAACGCCATCAGAGACACGGGGACTTGGCCCGCGGCCCTCAAGGCGCAGGAGGTGACCATGATCCCAAAGACCAGTGACAAGCCCGACTTGCGGCCTATTGGCGTCGCCCAGTCTGTCGCCCGGGCCATCAGCAGGGTCGCTGTCAGCAAGTACAACCAGTGGGCCAGCCAGGTCCAGCCCACGGATGCGCACGAGATCCTGCTCACGGTGGACCTCGCTATCGAAAAGGCCGCCCACGAGGGCACCCCGCTGCACATTCGCCAGAGCGACCTCTCGAACTGCTTCACGCGGATCCAGCCGGAGCTCGTGGTCGAGGTTGCCGTGCTCTTCGGCATGCACCGAAAGGACGCAGTGCTCCTCTTCATGAACAATGTCGGCCGCGACACGGTGGTCAAGGTGAGCGGCTACGCCAGCGACTTGCTCCTGGTGCTGCGCGGCCTGGCACAAGGCGACCCCGCCTCTCCGCTCGGCGCAGCTATCCTGGCGGGCGCCCACGCGCGCAAGGTCTGCTCCGTCTTCGATGTGGGAATGGGCACCTACGTGGACGACCGGACCACCTACGCCGACGACAGGGACACCCTGGACGGCGCCGAAGCCCTGCTCAGGCGCCTGGACGAGCTGAGCGGCCAGAAGGAGGACGACAGCAAGCAGGACAGGGCGGCGGTGAACGTCGCCGGCGGCCAGCACAAGGACCACCTCGACTTGCTCGGCGTGCGGCTGGATCTCACTGGCCGGAAGCCGCCAGCGGCCGCCCCGCGAGCCAGGAAGCGGGTGGCCAACCTGCTCGACAAGCTGCGTCGGCTGCGCACCGTGGCCAAGGCAGCGCGCCTCGGGCGCAGGGCAAGGAAGCGGGTCGTCATGGCCCTGGCGGGCAGCATTCGGTGGGACGCGCCGTGGTGCTCGTTCCCCAAGGAGACCGTGACCCGCGCACGGTCTGCCATGGAGTTGGCACTGGAAAGCAGACGCAGGCACGCAGCCTGGCGCCACAAGGGCGCGGCATGGTGCATGAAGGACAAGGCCTGGAAGTTCGAGCCCGACGGCCTCGCGCTCTCCAGCACCGTGAGCATGCTCAGACGCGTCGCCCGCACCCACTTGGGGCCCGCGGTGGAGGCGCGGTGGGACCACTGCGACGGCAGCGGCCTGCGCTGGCTGGACCGGGTCCGCGGGGTCCTGGAGACCATGGGCTGGCACCCCGGCCCGTCGCCCTTCGAGGTCGCCTTCGGCGGTGACGGCTTCCGCCTCGCGGAGGTGTCAAAGAGCTTTCTGGACCACTGCGTTCGCGAGACGTGGCGGGCCCACACGATGCGGACCTGCAGAATAACCGCCAGGAAGGTGCCGGTCGAGGTGCCGAGCTTGGACGTCAAGACGTTGCGGCGCTTCGTGGAGGAGGCGCCGACGGCCGCGGAGCAGAGGTGGCGGTGGCGATGCTGTGTTGGCGCCGAGCCTTCTCCAGACCGCCTCAGCCACGTCACGGACGAAGTGGCGCATGACTGCCCCATCTGCCACAGTGCTGCGACCACGTGGCACTTGATGTGGCGGTGCGACGCCACCGAGCATGAGCGGCAGCGCCGGGGCCTCCACGAGGCCACCATCGGCGGGCATCTGCCTCAGCACGAACGGTCCGCCCTTCTTCTCAATGGGTGGACGAGGGCCGAATGGGACCCCCCTGACGGCCAGTCGCATGATGCGCACCGCGCGGCCGCCAAGGGCCAGGGGAAGCTCGCCTTGAACATCCTGCGCTTGAAGGACCGGGTCCTGAAGCGCTACTGGGACATCTTCGTGGGCATCGCGCCGGAAGCGGGCCACGGCAGGAACCAGGCCGCGAGGCAGGGCAGACCACTGCCACGAGCAGGCCCTCCCTCCTCCTCCCCCCTCCTGCCTGCGCGAGGAGGACGTCGAGGAGGTCGAGGAGGAGGGCGAGGACGACGAGGACGAGGCGGAGGAGGCAAGGCGGCGCTGCCGGCCCTCTCCCGTCCCGACACGAGCAACCAGACGCCGGCCGGGCTGGCGAACCAGGACATCCCGCAGCACGCCGGGGACAGGGACATTTCGCAGCACGCCGCGGCGGCAGCTGCGCCGGCCGACCGGCCACGAGCACCTTCCTCTCCCCCCCTCCTCCCATCCAGCCTGCAGGATGAGGATTTTCGTGGAGGGCGTGGACGTGGACGCGGAGGACGAGGAGCAGCAGGAGGCAGAGGCAGCGCGTCGCCGTCGCCGCCCTTCTCTTGGCTCAGCGCGGAACAGCAGCTTCAGCCGCAAGGCGCCTAGCGGAAGCATGATTGATAGTAAGACTTTGTCATCTTGGTTCATCGACACAGCTTCCTCACCGTGAAGAACACGTTCCTCGACGTGTCGGGCGTGACTGTGGGATTTGGGCACGATCATGACGACGCGACGCGGAGGTGCTCGAGCTGCCCGCCGCGCTGCTCGGCCCCGACGAGCTCGCAGCAAAAGGCGGACCAGGGCGGCCATCGCGCGGCGCCCGCAATGCCCACCTACTTCACACGCGGCGCGAAGGTCGCGCTGGAGTGGGACCCCGCTGGATTCACGGAGGGTCACGGGGGGCGCCAGGCAGATCTTAGGCACGGCCGCGTGGTATGGATCGCGTTTAATCTCACCGCGATTCTGACGTCGCTGAGCCCGCGCGGCGCGGCGCTGGCCGAGGACGAATTTCAGGTATTTGTGCGGGCGCTCGCGGGAACCGCTGTCACGCTGGACTTGAGGGCCAGCGACACAATCGGCGGCGCGAAACATAAAATCGAAGACAAGCACCGCGTCCCCGCCCGCATGCAGCGCCTTCTCCTCGGGCGCAAGGAGCTTGACGAGGACGACTGCCTGATCGTTGATTACGGCATTGCCAAGGAGTGCACGTCGATGCTGACAGGAGGTTTGCGCGGTGGCGGGAAGAAAGGGGCGGTCCCGATTCCTCCGTTCGACGCGCCCAGCGCGCCGCCATTCGAGTGTTTCTTCCCCGACTGTGGCGTCCAGCGAGACACGTACTGTGAGCTGATGGAGCACATCCGCGAGGATCACCCGGGCGCGAGCGCGTCTGACTGTGATGGGACATTCTTCGGCGACGCTGTTCGGGGCGAGAAGAAGCCCTTAGAGGTGCCGGCGAGCGCGGCGAGCGCGGCTGCCTCGGCGCCAGCCGCCGAGAACGCGGCGGCCGAGGGCGCCACTTCGGCCGGCGCAGCGCCGCCGCCGCCATTCGACAAGGACAGCAGGCCGCCCTACGCGGGCTGGTTCCCCGAAAGCAGGTGCCAACGTCTTAAGTACGTCTATATGATGAAGCACGTCCGTGAAGAGCACGGCATGGTATCGTCGGACTTCAATGGGACCTTCTTCGGCCAGCAAGTAAGGACGGACAAGAAGAATGAGAACGATGCCCCAAAGGAAAAGGCCGCCGCGGCAGGGCCAGCGTCATCAGCAGAGGCAGCCGTCCCGCGCCAGACTTGGATCGTCTGCGTTACAGAGCTACGGGCGGATGACTTGGCGGCCGGCGACAAGAAGATTGTGTGCACCGTAGGGAAGGGCCGCTTCTTCACGGTCCGAGCTGGCGACCTAATCATCATCGCCTGCTCTGGTGCCAAGGGTAGAGTGACGGCGGCGCGCCAGGCTGCCGCAAAGGCCCAGCCAAGCTCTGACCCGGAGGATCTGCGGGGCACGGTGCTGCCCGCGAGGTGGGACGACCTCTTGTGCCACTTGGGTGGCAAGCCCTTCACGTGCATCCACATGCGCCGCGCCTGGGACGTCCGTGGCCTGCGCGTCACGGCGGAAGCGCTTGTTCGGGACAGCCAGGCCAAGCCCTTGACGCGGGGCTGGCATCAGCGCTTCGTGAGCGCCTCCAAGGACGACGCCGTCGCCGCAAGGCTGCTGGAGCGCATCGGCGGCTGCCATCGCCGGGATCTCCCAAACATGTCCGGGGGGCGGCGCGGCACCATCCGCACGCCGCCCCCCGGAAATGTTTCTTGCCTCTGCAACCGCGACCGGCGTCGAAGGGGCCATTCATTGGCAAACAGTTCTTTTGACGATTAAGAAAAATCCACAGCGCCGTCTGCGGCATCTGGCACCATGTACTAAAGAGCGGGCCACCTAACAGAGCGCAGCCTGTCCTTTCCCACTCAGACGTTTTGTTTAAGGGGTTCGCCGCAAACCTGATCCCTATCGTCTTCTTCACCTCCGTCTGCCGCATCAGGTAGTGATATGTCTGCGTTTTTGAATGCTTCTCGGATGAGGCCGGCAAAATCGTTCTTGTTCGTCTCGAATCTGGTGAGGCCTCTCTCCTTTCGCTTCTTAGCACTGAGCTGCTCCTCGTCATAGAGAAGGACCCAGCTACCAGTACGCATGTAGAGTTCAATTGGTCCATAGGCACTAGCCTTCGTCAAGCTGTCGCTCAGGTTGGCCTCCGAGTGGCACCATCGCACAATCAGGCCAGTTTCCTCGATGCAGCGCTCGAACGCCATCAACTCAAGTGCGGTCCGCTTCTCGGCTAGGCTCTGCATCTGAACCTGCTTGGCGAGGCAGTCGTAGATGCGCTTCGCGTCCACGCAAAGCCATGCCCGTACCTCTCGAACTCCTTCGACCATCGGTCTCAGTTCTCGTCCAGCGCTGGCTGTTCCTGCGACGACGTCCGACACGAATCCGTTCAATTCTGCCCACATCATTCGCACCATAAACAACTCGTCCTCTGCGACAGTCAGCGCCTGCACTTCTGCTGCCAGCGAGCTCCTTGCAACGCGTTGGAGTTTCCCACTGCGGTGAGATAGCCAGCCAACGGGTGTGCGCTTTCCTTCTAGGATCTCTTCAGGAGCGATACCGATGACGTAACCTCCAGTCGATAGTCCATCAAGTCGATTTGCCAAAGCTGCGTCACTCCATCCCACAACTACCGCCTTTCCTTCGAACGGCTCGAAAGTCAGCGTGTAGTTGGTGTCGAGCTTGATCTGTCGAATCAACTTGTTTATACCGAAGAGCGTTTCCACCGTCGCCGGCGGTCCGCTGCTCTGGAATATCGAGCACAGCGCTTGAAATCTTGGCAGGGTTTGTGTAGCTACCCACTGGATTTCACCAAGAGCTCCACGTTATTCGGTCATCTCGCTATCCGTGAGTTTCTCGGTTCGCTGCTTTCTTCGCTCGCTGGAAATCTAGATATCCTTTATGTTGTCGACAAATTCCTTCTGGTGGATCGTAATACGTCCACACGTGTCCTGACTGACCATCAGCCCAGTCTGCTTGAACTCTCCTCCTTCCCAGGGTGTCCACCGAAACGCTTTCTGCAGCTTTGTTTCGATTTCCAACCATCGCTTGCTGTTGTCGCCGGCAATCAGGAAGTCGTCCACGTGCGTACCTACGATCCCGAAGACTCCGTCTTGATCGCTGAATACCCTGACACATGGGTCCGATACGCATCGTTGTCCTCCGAGCTGCTCCATCAGTGCATCCACACTTTCATACCATGATTTTGGAGCTTGGCATAGACCGTATACTGCTTTCCGTAGTCGCATCAGTGCGCCCAGCGGTAATCCCAGTTCCTCCGCCAGCTCCTCATTGGCTGCTATGAACACAGGCTCGTCCTCTGGGAGACCCTTGCCTTGTAGGAAAGCTGCCTTGACGTCGCCCTTCTTCAGTCTCCAGGACTCCATGGCTGCAAGTTGGAAGATCATATTCCTTGCCCGTCTCGTCATGGTTGGTGATGCCACCGGTTCTTCACCAAGTCTGGGGTCCTGGTATCCAAGAACCACGAGTCTGGCTTTTGCTCGGCTGCTCCCAGTCGCCTCGTCCTTCTTCCACGTCAGCACCCACCTGGTCTTGAGCACGTCCTCGGTCTTTGGTTTAATATGTGCCAGAAGTCTTTCCAGTACGTCGTTCGCGATCCGGTCGCGCACTTCGACAAGCTTCGCCGCCTTCATCAGACGCTTCTGTTCGCTCGTCATGTGCTTGACACTGGCTTCGGTCTGGCCCTTCTTTATCGCCTTGCTCACGTAGCGTTCAGGTTGTTGACAGAGTTTGCCAAGTGCTTCTCCATCGGTTGCTTCGAAAGCTACCTCGATGAACTCGGTTCCAACGGGTATGGAAATGTCCTCGGCCAGCTCACTGGCCGCGTAAGCACTTAGGTCAAAATCGCTCCAGTCGAGCTGAGCTGGTCCCAGTCCGAAGCCTCGTCATCAAAGAACGTGCCGAAAGCTCTTAATGACGGTCCGTAGGGTGTCTTCATGCGTATCCACCTTTTCGTCTTCTCGAACAGGTCAGTATTCTTCCTTCTCTTTCCTGATTCGGCCCTCCTGTTCGGAGTCGCTCTCTCCTCATTGTTCGTGATGGGAGTCGGTCCTATCTTGGTGTCCACCATCAGGTCTGGATCGTCCTGGTCCTCGACGGCAACTCGCACGGCCTCGGTCGCATCACCTTCATGGACAGGTCCTGGTGGTAAACGAACGGTTCGGAGGCATCGCCCCCGACCCCGTTGCTCCAGCCGATGAGGTTGAGGAATCTGGAATGATTTCTCTCTCGGCCGTCGCAGGATCGTCTTTCCGATCATCCGTGCCCTTTTGTCTGGGGAAGAAATATGTGTTCCCCGTCCAGCGCCCCTTCAAGGATCTCTGTGTCTGCCTGTGTGCGTTCCAGTTCTCGTCTCTGACTGTTTCCATGGATTCGTCCTCGAACTTCGCCACGATGACACGTTCCATCGTCGCCCCCTCGATCGAGGCCTTGTATCCTTCAGGAGCAAACAGGGTCTTCCGACTCCGAAGATGCACGCGTACATATGCTGTTATTCCTTCGAACTCTTCCTTAGTCCAGTAGTCCTTGAGATCGCTGTCGTCTGGCGCCCTTGCGGTCGCTTCCGGAGCATACGTCTCCTCGTACATCGGCACGTCTTCTTTGTCCACGCTGATCACCTCGCCCTTGTTAAGATGGTTCAGCGCTTCGACAAATGTCCAAGGTGTTCCATTCTCCTCCGTGAAGATGTCCTCCTCGCGCGGGCTGGCTGCTCGAAGTTGTTCCGGGGCGCATCGCCACAGCCGAGCTCCCATGACCACCCACACTTTCCGAGAGGGTTGAGGGTTCTCTCCATGTGCTTGCACCGTCTCTACTCCAAGCACAGTACCGGGTCCGAACCATCTCCCACGATCAACTCCATGTGTCTTCTCCAGCGCGTGGTGGTTCGCCATCTTGCCGCATCTCCAGACACACACCAGCATGCCTGGGACAAATCGCTGCACGCGATGTTCTCTAGCTGCGGCCGATCTCGCCTGCTGTTGCTTGAGTATCCAATCTCCAATAACCTTCGATGCTAGAACACGTTTGGACAAATTCTCCATGTAGCTTTGGTTTGAGCACTTCACTATGTACAGGTCATCGTCTTTGGTAAGTGTCCCGGACCAGTTCTTGTCTCTTCCGAATGCCCACTGCCTTTGGACAATAGCCGTCGACTCGCTCCACAGTATTGTGAGCCTCCGCCGCCTGGTGCGCCGCTCTCTCCAAGTCTGTGCCGCGATCCTTGTGCAGGGACCTCGCACAGTCGAAGACTGTCTTGATGGCTCTTTCGGCTATCCCGTTCTGCCAGTGTGCCTGAGTAGCGCAGGGATCCAGTATCACACCTTCTCCAGAGATGCTCTCGAAGAATTCATGAGATACGAAGGCTCCTTCTGGATCTTGACGCAGTACGGCAGGCATTCCGTATCTGTCTGGCCAATGCGCTCGAAAAGCTTCCAACAGTTCCTTAGTCGCGCAGTTTCTGGACTCAGTGCTCGAGCAGCTGAATATCTTCACAGCTGGAGTGAACTTGCTGGCCTCGTCGACAATCACAAGGTGCTTCCGCTTGATGTCGTCTTTGCCCACGATCTCCTTCACGTCTACTCCGACCACTCGCCAGAGATCCCTGGCGGGCCCCAGAACTGCCGCTGGTCTTGGCTTCGGCGCTTAGCTCTCGATACACGAGCTACACTTGATCTGCTTCACCGCTGCAATGGTTTCTGCTGTGGCACCGCGTCGTCGTAGAATTCGGACCATCACTCTCGGAGGTCGATGTCCCGTGTTCCGATGTAGACGCATCGCTGCCTTCATCAGCTCACTCTGCTTCAGCGGTTCCAGCTGACTCCAGTCACTCTGCTCCTCGGCTGTGAATTATATTTCCTTTTCGGTGTCGTACATTTCCGTCTTGGTTCCTGCGAGCGCCTTCTCCTCCGTCTTCAGCTCCCCGACGAAGCCTAGAAGGTTCGGCGGATCCACGATGCTTTTCCAGATCAGCTTCGCGAGTTGTTTCGGAAATCGTCCTGATCCAGTCGCATCTCGTCCACGGCAGTCCGCATGCCCGTGTCCCTCTGGATCCGGACACCGTTTACCTCGCAGTGCCGTGGCTAGCTTCTTCCTGCTCGTCCATACCGTCCATGGTTTGTAGATGGGCGCGCCGTGGCAACTGGTAACGCCGACTTGGCAACCGTCGAAATTTGCCTTTTCCATTCCCATTTCGCCAAAGAGCGTCATTAGCTGCGGAAACATCTTCCATCCATGACAGCTCCGGGGCCATTCGAAGTGAATGTCTCCGCCATTAGCCTTGACGAGTCGGCCAAGCAGGATGAAGTTGTCTACCATCTTCTTGAGGTTCCGTCGCTTGTTCTCGAGCCTGGCCCAGTGCTGTGACCCAGCCCGGCCAACGTAGCCGTTCTGCAGAGCACTGACCGCCGTGCACGGTAAGCTCCCCCACAGGTCCGCTCCTGGATTCTCGTCGGCGATCTTGAGGGAATAGTCCAACCCGGTCTTCTTGCTGAGGTCCGCATTCTTCCTTGTGGTTCGAATATTCTTTGCGTCCTCCCGCTCGCTCGCGACCTGACCGAGCTGGCTGTCTTCTTCCGTGCAAAACTCGAACAATGTCTTCTCATAGAGGTCATTGGTGGCATTAGCATTCTTCCCCTGGTCGATGACCCAGGTGTAATCCATCATGGTGAGCTCCTCCTTGGGGTACTCGGCGTCAATCCCGAACGTGACGACGCCGTGCCCGGCCTCCGTAGGGCCGGACGTGTCTTGACTTAGACATCGCCCGGGCCCCCGCCCTGAGGCGAGGTCTTTGGGGTCCTCCTTCGGCTTGGCGTCGCCGCTGGCCTCTTGGTGCTGTCCCTCATGGAGTCGCTCTCCCATCTCCGGCACCCCTGGAGCATTGCTCCCGGCGGCGCTCTGTGAGGAGTTTCCTGGTAGCCGGAATGATGCCACTTCCTGAAGCATCGTCGCACGCTTCTTCCCCGTGTCAACCCACGGCGTCTCCTCTTCCTCCGAGGTGCCTTCCTTCTCGAACGAGTCCTCCGAGTCGGACCATTCCGGTATCGGCGGTTCCTGCGGGCGTTTCTCCTTCGACGATGCCCGCGGACGCCTCTCCTTCGTAATCTCCTCGATGTCGATCTTGCCCCCTGTCTTCCCGAGCGGCCCGTTCGAACGGTGCTTGCCCGACGCCCCGTGCCTCGGAATGCATTGAGCCGCCCGCAGCTAATGCCCCCTGTAAGAAGGAGAATCTGGCCGGAAAAGAAAATCCGGAAAAAAAACCGCCGAGAATTCCGGAAATTAATTTTTCGCCGGCGAGAAATTATTTTTTCGCCGGCGAGCCGAACTTGCCGGCAACCCCCGGGGGAATTAATCATACGCTTGAAGTCTCGCAGATTCTTTTTTCTCCGACAAAGCGAACTTGCCGGAACTTGCCAGCACCGGAAATTCCCTAAACAAAATAATAATTGTATTTCTTCGTTTGAATTATTGTACTTATTTTTCAAACTTTCTCCACAACATACAGAAAAGCCTCTGGGGCATTAGATGCGGGCGGCTCAAGGAATGTAGAGCATCCTCAGATCGCACCACGCGCACTTGTAGCTCACCTTGTACTGATTGGCGCGACGTCCCAGAGGATTCGTCGTGTCGTGATCTCCCCGGCACGGCTTCCCGAGGTACCTGTCGCCCCTCTGGTCCACCGGGCCGCGCGCTTCCAGTCCAGACTGGGATCCTCCCTGTCGATCTTCATCCACTCGATGATCGTCCTGCGTCCACATTTTATCCAGCCCCCCGTTGACTTTGTGGACGGCGAGGCGTCTCGCTCTCCACTTGCCGTCTGCGGCTTGTTGCCACCGCCGCGGGCGGCCCTTGGCTTCTGGCCCTTCTCGTACCTCTCCTTGGGCACAGGCGTCTCCGCTGCAGCAGCTGCAGCGCTTCCCGGCATTCTGCAGTAGCCTCAGGTAGCCTGTGGATGTTGCAGAGATTCTCCGATTTGAGCCAGAGCGACGATCACGGCATAGTGCGTTTTCCGTTTCTGGCGTGTCGGCTCGCTCCGCATCGGGGCTCACGGGTACTTCGGGGACCTTACTCTTCTCGAACAGCACATCGGTAGGTTTCGGTTCGGCTGTCCTTCCAGTGGTTTCGAAACCCCTCGGTCCACTCGTAGACTCCCCATTAGTTTCCTCCTTCGACCCCGTCTGACTCGTCGGAATCCCAGTCACTCGAGTCGGTGTCATTCGTGCTGTCGATATTCTTTGAAATCGCGTCGTAGTAGTCGGAGCCGTCGATCAAGCTGTCAATCGCGTCGAACTCGTCGATATACTCGAACCCCCAACGGTCTCCGTTGTACCCGGCCCTCCTGCCAGAACGGTTTCCTCTGCGTTGTCGGAATTTCCGTCGAAGATCCCGAGCGCCCTTCCCTTGCCCGGCTTGTGAGGGAACATCTCTCTTTTCCAATTCTGGGCGTCGTGTTCCTTCAGAGCTACGTCTGCCCACTGGTTTCTCAGCGCCGCCTCGATGTTCTTCAAGCTCAGGGAATTCCTGGCCGAGGATAGCACGCCGGCTCGCTCCTGGGCGTTGAGACCAGCTCACTGAAGTAGCAACCGCCCCGCCATCACTGGAGGGTTGAGTGGTTCACGCAACTCCATCGCAACCTCCTTCAGCGCCTTGATGTCGACATCGTCTTTTTTCAGATTGAACCTCGCCATCAGCGAGCACAGCGCTTCCGTAGCCTTCTCTCTGAGTGTGGCTTTCCTGTGCGCCTTGAGCGACTCCGTCTGTCGCGGCCAATTCCACTATGAACTTGAGTATCCACCCGGAAAAACTGCTCCACCAGCTGTTCGCGCACCACCAGCTCCCAGTCCAGCGTCCGCCTTCGACGTCGTCCCAGCTCTTGGCCTCGTCGTC